GCCAGCCAGCCACCAAAAGTACCCGGCGGCTGGCGGAATCAGCCACCTAAAGTATCCAGCGGAGTTAGCCAGTAGGCAGCCAGCAGAAGTATCCGGCGGAATCAGCCAGCCAGCCACCTATCAAAGTATAGCCATTAAGCCTAGGCTTCGTGGGGGGTACAGCCATTTGACAGGCGTCCAAAAGCGCGTCAGAAAAAACAGTCTTGACATGTCTTGACTATTCTTGACTTTTGTTGATGATTTTCATGCGCATTCATCTTCACTACCAAATGAGTAGGCCTTTCCAGGCCGCGCCCCATTTTGTAGCAATCAGTGACCTTGGCCCCCTCCATTTTGTATAATTGGCCTATCCCCTCCCTACAAAATGAGTCCGTTTTTTTGGGAGTCATTTTGTAGGGATGGGACGTTGGTCGCTGACATTTTGTAGTGATTTTTACTACCAAATAGGGACCCCGACCCCTCACCCTAAATATCAACAGGGATGGATCAAATTAATATATTGATGGGGGACCGGCCCTTGTGAGGGGTACCCTTTGTGAGCTTGTCAAGTGATTGTTTTTGGTTGCTTTTTAATAAGGCAATATATAGGCCCTGAGCCCTAGACATTTTTTTGGATTTCATCAAAAAGTAGTAGGTAGTTGGTGGTAGGTGGTGGTGGTCGTAGTAGTCGTAGTCGTAGTGGTAGTCGTAGTCGTAGTCGTAGTCGTAGTCGTAGTAGTAGACGTAGTAGTAGTAGTAGTAGTAGTAGTAGTTGTTGTTGTTGTTGTTGTTGTTCTTGTTCTTGTTCTTGTTCTTGTTCTTGTAGTTGTTGTTGTTGTTGTTGTAGTTGTTGTAGTTGTTGTTGTAGTTGTAGTTGTAGTAGTAGGTGGTAGTAGTAGTGGTAGGAGTAGTGGTAGTAGTAGTAGTTTGTATGTAGTAGTAGTAGGTAGTTGGTGGTAGGTGGTGGTGGTCGTAGTAGTCGTAGTCGTAGTGGTAGTCGTAGTAGTAGTCGTAGTAGTAGACGTAGTAGTAGTAGTAGTAGTAGTAGTGGTTGTGGAGTAGTAGTAGTAGTAGCAGTAGCAGTAGCAGTAGCAGGTAGCAGGCAGCAGGCAGCAGGCAGCAGGCAGCAGGCAGCAGGCAGCAGGTAGCAGGTAGCAGGTAGCAGGTAGCAGGTAGGAGGTAGCAGGTAGCAGGTAGCAGGTAGCAGGTAGCAGGTAGTAGGTAGTAGGTAGTAGGTAGTAGGTAGTAGTAGTAGTAGTAGTAGTAGTAAAACTATTGGGCTCGGTTGTGGGCTCGGTTTAATTGCGGGGGTTCTAGATGACAAGTACACTATTAGGGGGGAAATTTAGCTCCAATACTACTTTCAATTTGGGTGAATTTTCGGGGCTGTGTGGGCTCGGTTTAACTAGCGGGGGTTTATTAATTCTACCTCTACATCAACACCTTGCCTGTAGGACATCACAGACTCATAGATCTCTAGAGGTCGTTTGCTGCATTTGTGGTGATGTCTCTACTGTTTCCAGTTCCAGCGCGGAAGATAAACCTGAAACTTGCCGTTGGACCTAACCTTGGAAATCAATAGTAGGTCGGGTTGCATCTTCTGTGCAGGTACCAATCTCACGTTTGGTGCAAGTCTTCGACAGTCTGGGCTGTGTGCTTTGTTTAGGCGTGTTTAGGTCAAAATCCATCACAATCCTTTATGTCTTCAGACACTGCACAGGTGCCCCATCCTTTATTTCAATCATTTTCTCCGATCCTTTAATTCAATAATTTGCTCCGTTAAAGCTGCCGTCTCAAGCCCTAAGTTTGTTCTTTATCAATTGAGAGGCAAGCATTAATTGCTTGCGGACCCTCTATACCCATACCCTCCATGTATTATGGAATATATGTCTACATTGACCCCCCAAACCACCCCAATGCATATATTCCATACATGGAGCGTTTGGGATATACTCAGATTCTACTCGTACTTTGCCCAAAAATGGACCCGGACCCATGGCTGCGCTGGCCTGCTCCGATTTCTATTCCTTCCCTCGCTCCAACCCAACCCAGGACCGACGACGTCCTGAAGCTGCTGGAGCAGGTTCCGAGTTCCGAGCCGATGAGAGACGGAAGCTCGACTGCTGGAGCTCCAAAGATGCGCGTGGTGAATTGTTATGAGGTTGCTGATTTCCTTTTGGTCTGTGTGTGTGGCTTGTTGCGTTGTCTTGTTTATTGTTGGTGGCTCGTTTAGGGATTGGAAGGAAGAAACTGGAAACACGCGGAGTATATCAGAGTGTCGCTTCCTTTCGGGTCAGCACACGAATCACTTGGTTTGTGGACGTGAGCTCTTTTGCACGTCAGGCCACTGTCAGGTGAGCGACAGCGACTTGATCCGCCATAAAGGTTTGCCCATTCCAGCGGAGCCTTGCACTTGGTCCCTTTGTTCAATGGGAAACGCAACAATAAAGAATCATCCAATAGCACAAACTACTCGCCTGAGGGAACCTCGCCTGATGGAACTTGGGCATTGGCTCATGTTGGCTCAGCAAAAACGTTCAAGCAGCTTTGCAAAGACGGTGTTGGCAGCATGTTGGAGAAACTGACACTGCTGGTGAGGGCACAGGGGCTTCGACAAGACTCCTCTCCTGTGTTCAAATTGTGTTCCAGGTCTATTTCAATAGGTCGTGGCTTTGGTTGAACATCAAGGGGGAACACAGAAGTATCAGCCAAACCCAAAAGTTTGGTCGGATCCACCTTTGAGGTCGATCGTCGATCAGCCCGAGTTTCCCCCCTCTCCAAGGCAAATGACACAAGTGGTTAGTCTCAACTAGTGAAGAAGATGAATTTCCCCGGTTCAGTGGAGTTCATCACAAACCTATGCAATGACATATATGTGATACATATATGTTATATAGTATAACAATTGTTTGATATGTTGTAAGACACATAAATGGATAACATATATACAGCACTGGAGATTTGCAATTTGCAACAGATGCCTTGCAGCCGCCGCATTTCTACCAATTGGGGTGCATTCTGTTGCTGCTTGCTCAATGATATTTCAAAGGCTCAAGCCCAACTGCATGCCAGCGCTAGGCTGCAGCCGCCCAGCTTGCTGCTCTCGCAAGTGTTCCTGTTGATGACCTCATTGATAGCAGTCATTTGGAGTGCGCGTCCGCAAAATTGCTACAAGCTGATGGCAGAACTTACGGCGGGCAGCTTTCTGTCACCTTGCACTGTTCCATGTCAAAGAATTGGGCGCGCGCTGCCACCGGTGAAACTCGTTCCCTTCTGCTTTGGACATCCTTGCTGCCTTGACTTTTTTCGCAACTCCCGAATGCAAATATTGCGAAAAACGGTCTTCACAACCGGCGCCAAAATCGAGGCCGAAATCCTGGCGCCATTTCCCTTCCACTGTCACAACGCGGCCAACATTTTGAGCCCTCCTGGCGGCATCGCTTTTTGATCCTCTTTTGTGGAACTTTCGCCGCCTGTCCGCCCATCCAACCTATGCATGGGCCAAGCATTTACGTTGGCGGCAATGCTTCCGGGCATGTCTGCCACCCTACTGCGTGATCTATTTTTGCCGTTGCCCTTTCTTGCTGTCGTAGTCAATTAGCTTCTCGTGTGCTTCTGTTGCAAACTTGCCTTGGCGCAATAGAGCATCCAAGTTTGCGAGCGCTTTTTTTATTGACAAGGCTTCTATCCAACAAACCCAAGTCAGTCATCATTGGAGGTGTGCAGTGGACGCCGCGCAGCCTGTTTACTGGCAGGGCAAGAACACTACTGTAAGTGTAGCGGTCGCGACGTCACTAGCTTGCACGCTTGCTTGCTGACACAACACACACACACACACACGCAATCAGGGCCCACCAGTTGGAAGCTGATCTGCAAGCCGAATCGTGGTCTCATTTGTTGGACCTAAATTGCAAAAACAAAACGTTGCAAAAACCCATTCAAAGGAGGCGTTCTTTTGAGAATTGGCAGGACCTGCTTTGGTGGCCCTGTTGTCTTGCAACGTTTTATTTTCCCTTTGCGGGACTGCAGGAACCACAGGTTGAGTGAAGAACGAAAAGTGCACCAAATCTTGCGCAGCCGCAAAAATAAGACATTTGAGGTCACAAAATGTCACCCTGACACGCCGCGCTTACACCAGCAGGCTTTCCGTACCAAATGCTGCGCCTGCCACGCAAAGTGGAACTATAGAGGTCCACCAAATGCTGCACCCGCGACGCAAAGTGGAACTAGAGGTTTGCCAAATGCTGCGCGCCACAAAATATTATCAAATTAGCAGTTCACCACTTGGTGCTTGCCATGAAAATTGAAGTTTCGATTTTCACCAAGTATGGCGCTTACTGTGCGAGAATTCAAAGATATTGCAGTGGAGAAGGACGCCCAAAAAACATGCACATCACCGTGCCTGAACTTTATACCCGCGTGTTCAATAAGATTGTTTCCACGCCCGTCACACCATGTGGACATCTTTTTGCGCGCTGCCCCTTTCAACGCCTGTATTTGGGAGTTTGCTTCTGGGCCCTTAAAAACTGGTGTTTTTTGGCTTCAGCATGGTGTACCCTCACAGTATATATTAATATTATTTATATAATACATAGAGATGAACGATGTTGATAAATAGAATATGGATATCTATATATATATGTATGTATCTTTTTGATACTTTGTGTGATACATTTAAACATGTATAAACACAGACATGTACCTCAGATGATGTATACATATGTATATTGCAACATCTATTTGATATACCTTGATGCATACATATATATTCATGTAAATAGACTAGAGAGAGTGAGAGAGATGTATAATATATATACTTACAGATATACACATGATACATATTGAGAACTGTTTGCTTGATATATCGTGAGATGTATATATATATATATATATTTTTTACTTCTGGCCAATCTCCTTTTGTGGTGGGGCGAACATCTGGCTGTGAGGAACTGAGCAAACTTGTAGCTTGGAGGTTTTGTTGAAACAAGCTTGCAAACTTTCTGAATCCAGCAGTGCAGGATTTGCGCGAGCAAAGTACAGAGTCTTGGTGTTTTGGTGTCAATTCCTGAAAATTATATGAAGGGTTGGAACATGGAGGACTTCAATTGTTAGAACGTCAAACACACTCAGAGACATAGAGACACCACAACATTGAATTCCCAAGTATTGCCAGTGGGAACTTACCCTCGAGAGCCGCAGATCCGTTTATTTTTGCGTCTGCCCATGTGTTCCATCAATATTCCTGCTGCGAAAGCAGACGGAGAGCGCTGGCAGCAGTGGCGACAAAAGACCAACGTCTGCGCTTGGGGGCTTGCCGATGTGCACACCTTAGCCTTTCCCAAACATTTGCAACAAGTCTTCGGCATTTTTATGTGATTATACAAGAGCTGAATCCACTCAGCCAAAAAGAACGGAATACATTCTACCTTTTGGATTCTTTTGGGTCGATACCATCCCGGACCATGGCGGGTTCCCGGACTCGGCATTGAGAGGACCCATCCTTCACACCTTCCATTGAGAACATCGTGGGCGCCTGAGAAGTGTTCCGTGCTTTTTCAAGTTCGGTGTTTCATGAAAAACACTCTCCCCACCGTGGAATTTACTGTTCTCTTGTCTTGTAGAGGTAAGACATGAATTCATCAATTGAATGTATAAGAGGTTTCCAGAGTCCATCGTTGAATTTCATGTGCTTCTCTCAAGGTCCGGTGTCGGTCCTGTCAGTGTGCTTTCGAGCTATCGGACACTCAGATCACCCAGAGTGGCCCCAACGAGCTTGGGAAGAACGTGGCAGAGCTCTCCAGGGTGGATGGGCGGCGAGGGAATGGGTTGATTATTGTGGAGGATGTTTTGAGATAGACAGATGACAGATGAATCTATTTGAGACGGACATTGTCTTTGTGATAGATTGGGAGAACTTACAAATTTGGCGGTGCATGAAACATGTTATACTTTATGTGTGTTTTTGTTTTGCCCTAGCCCAGTGGACGTCCCTGGGCTGTCCAACATGCGTGGATTCTGGGGTCTGCAAGTTTGGCAACTTTGGCGGCCCTACGACCCTACAACTTCCCTGTTGAAAGGGCAGAGGGTTTGATGGAATTGTGCAAATTGAGTGCCTGGAGAAAAGGGCCTGGAGATCGCGCCTGAATGCTGGAACTTTAGCAGGAAAACCCATCCATTTGCTTGGTACAGGTTCTTTTTCCTCAAGTTTGGAATGCAAACAAGGCTCTACAATTCTGGAACGATGCTCTCAGGCCAATTGCAGATGAGTGCTGAATATAGGAGGATCCCTATCATCTGAGGTGCAATTTGACATTCGACCACACATTGCCCAGCGTCCCTTTCTCCCCCCCAGAGGACCTTTCACTGGGATTGCTTCTTGGACCCCGCCGCCAGTCGCTGGGGACGCTGAAAGACGACGTGAATAGCCCGGGAGTCCGAGGTGTTTCGTTGCCTGGGTGAAGTGCTGGAGCAAATTGGCCTCCTCAATGCTGACACAGGAAAGCTGTTTGTTTGGGGGAGAGAAGATGATAGAAGGCACAACTTTTGTCTTCATCATGACTTCCTCTCAAATGATGCAGTCTTAATTAACCATGAAAATGTCTTGGCTGTCTCGAACAGATGATAGAAGTGAGGCGGGTGTACTGGGTGTGTCTTAAAATCCGACCTCCCAAAGCTCCCAAAGGCCCCCTGGAAGAACCCAAACCCATTGGGCCAGGGGTGGCACGACGTCCTTATGATCTGAACGAACCCACAACCGGCCCCGTAGGCCGTGTATTAATCCATTGGTTGGGGATCCCACTACTAAAACAAATACACACCCATACCAGGACACCCGGACCAGGGGCTTCTATTGAGAGCCCCTTAGATGTTAAGGGGTGTCCATCAACCACCCCGACCGTGGGTCCTGGTATTACGTACTGCATTTGTATGCATTTGTATAGTATAGAAGTCGTGGAACAACCATCTTTGGAGGGAAAAGGATCACTCCTGACAGTCGGCATTTGGGTGAACCATTTCTGTAGAAAAATGGTAGGTGCAAATCCCAAAAAGCAAGAAGGCATAAAATAATATAAGGAGTGTTGTCAGAGTGATCCTTTACCTGATGGTTCCAAACCTATTAGTAACCCCCGCAATTGAATTGAAATACCTCTTCATAAGGGGGGGTTTATTGATCAAGAGTCTGCATTATTCTTCGCTGGTTTTACACCTCTAGGGCGATCCGCTCATGAGCTGAGCAGCGCGAGCATAAGTGGTTTCGAGCACGGGTGGTTTCTTCTGCACCTGTTGCCACCAGTAAAAACACCTGTTGGAGGAAACACCAGGTGCACTGGTACGGAGTCTTCGGGTGCACGGAGTCTTCGGTGTTTGGAGTGGGGATACGTTCGTTCGGTGCAAGGCTGTGCCAGACAGCGAGAGACTTCCCGTCACCAAGGCCATCTTTCCCAAGACCGTATTGCTGCCATGACCGCAGAGGCCGGTGGCGAAGCCAAAACCGAGGAAACACTGGCTTGAAAAGACCGTGGGTCCTGGTGAGCTGTTGTTTTGTTTATTGTTAGTGTGGATGACACATTGATGTTCGTAGTTTGTGTTAATTCATGGTTATTCATGTTGAAAATCATTTGAAATGATC